GKKTTTTTTTTTCTTTTTTAATGGAGAATGTTTCCTCCATTTGGAGGCTTTTTCCAAAAAAAATTAAGTCCCGGGCATACGATTTTCACTACAAATTTTCTACAAATTGCAGAAAGGCACTAATTGTTATTTATGTGTGAAAGATCTGGCACAAGAGTAGGACACGGGAAYAAAGTCCTACCTTTGCTGCAGTCACTTAGGGCAGCTTCCGTCTTGTCCTGGAACATAAAATAATTGTTATATTTAAGTCATATTTCTTAATATGACATATTAAGTTAAAATATTTAAGTCATATTTCTAGAGAAACCAATTATTTSCTACTGCAAACAAAAAGGTTCGTCAGACATTCCAAGAAACTTGGATGTTCATCTAATCAAGGCTGTTCATAGCATTGCCTCTGACTCAGAGCTCTTCAGCAGGGCTTCACTCGTCTCCATGCAGGCTGCAGACCCCACTGATGAGGCTGCCCTCGAAAGGCTGAGCCACATCTGCAGGCTCAGCCGAACAGGGCGACAGCCCTTCCGCCTTCGTCAGTTAATTAAGGGGTTGGAATAGCTGGTTCCCAAGACTCCTGGGTAAATTCTTGTCTGTATGAGATAAGACATTTTGAAAGCAGATACTGCCTTTAGCACCGATGCTGCTTTCTCTGCGAGGGCCAATGTGAGAGACTTCCCGAAGCGGCAGGGACAGGATTTTTGAGCACCCAGACRAGGAAGATGAAATTCAGACAATCTGTTTATAATGGGAGGAAARAAAAAAGGCAGAAGAGCCAAGATACATATTGCAACAGAGGGATTCTGAACAGCTGCTACAACTGAAAGTTTCAGTTTCATAATTCTCCTTGGTAAAACTAAGTGTACCAGCATTTCTGCTGGGAACATGAGAGATCAAGCAAACAGCAAAACCCACAAACAGCATGATTSATTTGCCATCACTTACCCTTCACTGGATTTTATGATCACATTTGTCATATAATCAATATATAGTGCCTAATAAAATAAAAGAACATTCACCTGTTTCATTTTTGCAGCAGCTCTGTTTGAAAACAAAACAGCCCTGTCTTTTTGGAAGCAAGCTGGACAAATYTGCAGAGCCCTCGTGTAAGAGTCTTCTGCCTCTCCATACTCTGTGGATGCAATAAGAAAAAATAAAGACTATTCATTTCAACTGGCAGTAGAAYCAGTGAATCACATGGCTGAGACCTCTTTGGAAACATTTCTCCATAYAAGATGCAATATTAAACCAGGTAAGATGTAACAGTAACATGCTATTGCACTATTATTATACCTGCTCACAGCTACTAAGGAGATATTTTTTGTCACAATATCTTCAATGACTTAATGGTCAATCATTTCAAAGCCAGTGTCACAATATGGTCATCAGTCATCATCAGGCCTGGCCTAAAACAAGGCCTGCTGATAAACCACAGGGGATTATCAAGTTATTTCTTTTCTAAGGAAGGTAGAGCCAAGGAAGGAAAAGGCCCTATGCAGTCTCTGAGCAAGGTTCTGCCAGCTGACAGGCGCATTCTCCTCCACACACACCACCTCTTCCTGCACACATCAGCTAACGACCATCAGGTGCTTCAGAGAGCGTTTTGTTCTGAGCAGGAAGTGCTTAAGCAGGCACCAGCAGCTCAGGCACACTGAGGAGATCTGCCAAAGAACCAGCACGCAGAGGCTGGGGATGAGATTTTACAAAAGGGCTAGGCCACCACTGCAGGTCTGCTGCCCTCATGAGCTCCCAGCAGGTCCCTTCTGCCTCCTCTGATGCCTGCCTGAATTGATAAGCTGCTTAAAAACACCCCCGACCTGGGTGGATCACTTTCTGTTAGCTGAAATGGCTGAAGAGTTTATACAAGTCACAGAGTAGGCTAAAGGGAGGAGGCAGAACTGCACGACCAAAAGGAAGAACTGCCTGTCTCATCTAAATCACACTGAGCTTCATTCACTGAATGAACTAACTTAACTGGGTGATGATGGACAAAATACTCCTTGTGTTGCAGCATTTCTGCCACATTTGTCAACTGACTTCATTTACTTGATACTGCATAAAACACAGTGAAGGCAGGAGGTGGGAAGTGCATAGAGAAATAAGGTCATATATCTGTACTAATAAACAAAATATGTAAGGAAAGGAAGGAATACATGTTAATAATTTTGTGTCAGAATAAAAACTAGGCAGTGTAACAGGGATTTGAGATTATGGCAGAATTAAGATGCTTCTAGTATAACATTAGAGGTTAGTTTAGAAAGCAAGTTACGATTTAATTATTCACAGGTTTTTACTTCCATGGAGTCATTAATAATTACTTTATAATTAATTACTTTAATATAGCCTGCCCTTTCAGGGCTACACAAAACAATGTTTTTGTATCTGCTAGTAAGTATAGAAACATTTAGTGACTTTTTAACAAGTATGCACTATACAGTGTCTGGCAGAAACTTTTTCAGCAACCTGAACAGAGTATTATTTAAGACAATRGTAGTAAGCTCTGAAGAGACAGCAGACTTTTAACATAAAATTGACACCACATAAAATGCAGTGATTGTAAAATAACTTAAAGTTCATGGATTAAAACTTCACCAAACAAGTACCCTTCCTTGTCAGGGCCAAAGGAGGGGGGGAAAAAAAAAAAGGCTTCCAAGAGGAGGGCCAGTCTCCAGATCAAGGTGTACTGCTGGGAAGTGGAAGTTGGCTGTTTTCAGCCCTACTGCCTGAGAGGAGCTTGAATCCAGGYTTCTAAGAATGTGCACTGAAGAACTCAGATCCTAGCAAATGCCTGTCTGGATTAGTAAAAAAATCTTGGCACTCCGTAAGCAGTCAATTCTGTAYCATGTTTTTGGATTTTAACATGTAGCTTTCATGAATTTTGTTATAGGAGCCCAAGTCTTTGCTGATCTAAACTCTTTAGGCAGGCTGCATCTCCTTCTGTTCCCAAGAGCTGGATGGAAATAYAGATGTTAAAAGAAAGATCTTCCTATGGGCTTTCTACAAAATCACAGTAAGGACTAAATATCAACTCAAAGATTATCTGATTTAGCCATGTGAAATTAGAGGATTATCAACCCACCTCCTTTCTTGAACTGCTCGTTTCCTTTCTCCTTCAGGGTTGTGCTCTCCTTTCTTCTTGTCTGCAAAAGGAAAGACAATGTCTCAAAGTATTTAACTGAAATGAACAAGTAGGTCAGTCGCAGTTCTGAAAAAAATATGAACGGAAATCAAAATAAAATATAACTAGAAACAAATTAACTAGTAGCACAATCACTTGCTTGCAGTCATTCTGATATGATATTCCTYAGGGATTCATAAAGCACTAGATGATACTAGCTCGACTCTTGGTGCTCCCCTTCACAGACAACAGCAGGYTCAAAGGATACCCATAGCGAACTGCACGGCTTAAACTTTGCTATCTTTTTAATTTGCAGGTACAACTTACTTCCTTTCTAACTACATTTAAATCAACCAGAGCACATCAACTACATAGAAGGTATTCCAGATGTTTACAGCAACGTTGTGTCAGAAGTCTAACTCAGAAGTCAACACTCACCTTCAGAGTCAGAGGGAAGAATGCTGTGCTTACTGCATCCACAGGTAATATCACCTGAAAGATTTCTAATGTAAAAAGTGACTGGTGTATAGAGTACTCCCCCGTACCCTCCCCCGGYACACACATGGTTATCCAGCTTTGAGCGACTGCAAGTTGAACGCCCAAACACATATTTCTCCTCATTAGCAGCTGCATTTTTCTCCTTGCTGCAACACTTAGTATTGCTCATTGGCAGCTAAAGCATCGAACCCAGGGGCAGGAAGATGGTTCTATTAGTGAAAATTACACACACTGTCTTTTCGAGCGTRAACAGCACAGTACTCTTAGCACAAGCTAAGATGACATGAATGATCTCAGCCTTTGACACTGAAAATACAGGATGTCATCAAGCCATCCACATCTACAAAGCAAACCTTTCACATGCAGACATACCTCAAACAAAACCAAAGCCCTATAGGCAAGACAGCATCAGCAAGAAGCAACAGTCATGCTCCTGAACCATTTCTATTGCAGAAAATGACCACTTGCCCACTCATTCTGTCCCCAACACATGTGTGCACAAAGGACTTAAAATCAAGGTGTCCATATATTGCAGATAATTGTGCAAGTAAAAAGCCTACGGTATGAAAAGGAGCAGTTTCGTTTCCTGCAGATTGGGTAAATCAAGGATTAATGCAATTATCAATATCGCACAGAACATCTCCTTGGAAACAGCTAAATATAGTTCTCTTTGTAGAGCACTTCACCATCTCGCTGCTGCCAAGCACCAGGCAAACAATACAAAAATCAGAGGTTCTCTCCACTTGCTCTTATTGCTTTTGGAAAGTAATTCCAAGCACCATTTTAGTAATAAGAAACCACAGTTTGCTGCAAACTAAGGTCAAGGAATGGTATTCAGTTGTCACACAGAAAACTACTCAGGAAAATCTCATGTGACCCTTTCATGATGTGCTTTTTAAAAAGCAACAAACATATTCTGGATAAAACATGCACCAGCATTTAGCARCTGGCTTCCTCCAGGGTGGCCTGACAAACTATCACAAGCTCTTCAAGAATGCCATTTCCTCCAGTGTGCATCAGCCTCGTAGTGCCATCTAAGTATTAGCACACAAAACGGTTTGAACATTTAAGAGACTAACTATATTAAAAACACAAATTTTTTACATATATGTGTCACTTAGCTGCTTAATACAATATATACTCAGTATGTGACTACATTTGAAAGCTACACCCAAACTTTGAAACTGGGTCACTGCCTTAAATACACTTGTCACTCCACAGGGAAAAAAAACAAAATATCTTTAATCCAAAGAGAATGAAAGCACAGCAGAAGTCAGTCTCACACCAGTAAACAAAGTCAGATTCCAGCACAGAACAGGCTTGAGAGATGATGGTCCTCCAGGAAAACATAAAAGATCTACACAGACAACCCTCACAACATAAGTGGGCCCGTAACACTACCTCTGACTTCATTGCTCATGACCTATTTAGAATTGGCCTTTCAGTGCCATTAACCGATTCACTGTTGCATAAGGTACAGTTGTGTGCAAAATATATACAAAAAAGAAATGACTGTTTCTCTATGAAGTGCGAACTGTGGCACAGTTGCAGTGTTCCTGACAAAGAAACCATACAAATCAAGGAACACTGGACAAAAAGCTTCCCCTGGATTATTATTTGGTTTCACCTTATTAAAAGTATCACAAGAAATTATATGCTTGCCCCATTTGAATTACTAATATGAATAATATGAAAACACTTTTGAAGTGAGAATGCTTAAGGAGAATAAGAATCTAAAAAAACATACATAATAAGACATAAAAGAATAAAATAACATTGTGTGTCCTTCTTGGATACCCAAAGCAGTGGCTGGAGAGGCAACTGCAGGTTGCCACACGGTTCTTGTGACACTGCCGGGAGAGGGAAGTTCTGGGCGMGTGGGAGCTCAGGGGCTGTGGCACCAGGAGGCTGGTGTTTCACACAGCCCTCTTCCCCTCCAGGTCCCTCTGTGATGCACCCTCTAGCCTGCCAGCCAAGCTGCACAGCCTGGGAGGAGAGGGGAGGACTATTATTCACATCCTTGTTAAAGACACGCGGATGTCAGTAACAATCCCACTGTCATTTCTGACTATTTGACCAGAAAAGGTGCTGCCTAAACTCRTTTCAGAAGCCAGAGCACTGCTAAGAGCACCTTATATGGCTTTGCAGCTTACGCAACTCTTTGGGAAACAGCTATGCAAGCAATGCTGTCTGGGCTCAAAATGACAGTTTCTGCACTAGCCTGACCAACACGGTCAAGACACCCATGTATTATGGGGTTTAGGCTGTCCCTTGACATCAGGACTGGTACAGTTTGGGAAGTGCTTTCTGAACAGATGAAGCTCATGAAGCACCACACGTCTCACTCTGGTTGTGCATTTGGGGGATCATCCTTTAGCAATACAGAGTAGCAGATCACCCCTGAAAGCAACACCCCAGCTGTCTCACAGAATGGCAGAGTTAGGAATTTATCTCCTCGTTGTGCTGGCCTCTAAAATCCGTCATGTATATGTGGTATACATGCATAATTTATGCTTGCATATATATGCATTTCTCTAATATATAAAACCTGATTAAAAAAAAAGAGGAAACTGAACTATTTTTTACTAATTTACATTTATTCTGAAAGGACTGCTGGAGCATATGCTGCATCCACAGTGTCATGGTGAGATTCAGTTTTCTATTCCAATTAAGGGTTAAAGAGAATAAAGCTCAGTTAGAAGACATAATGTCCTTACCCAGTATGCCGCACTTGCAGCTTAGATGGCCAACTGCAAATTGACTGGTCATCAGTTTACTGTGATTGTATCAGCCAAGAGTGAAAAAATTGCAAGTGACTTGTCCTTGGGACAAATTTTGCACAATGTCATTTCAGTATCTCCACCCGCTCATTTTTCAGAAAAAAAAGATATAAGTAGCTGCAGGGCATGCTACCCATTCTGCAGCAGGGAAGTAGGTCAGACTGAACTCCTAGAATGCTCCGCCTAAGGAGAAAATATCTTGACCCACCATATTCCCTCAGGCTGTTCATATATGAGCACTGGGTCATCATCTCCCCAGCTCACACTACATAATGTTTTCTGCTGTACAAAATAAGCAAAATCTAAATATCTTTTTTTTTTTTTTTTTTTGCAAAGTTTCTTAATATGAAAATGACAAATTCCAAGCGGCAGGCATTTCCTTTTAATTACATTAAACTGGTGTTATGATTCTTAAAGAAACCATCTGATTAGAAAGATTTACAGATTTGGATATTGAGGTACAATCACCCATATTCTAAAGAAATTAGGATCTTAACATAAACCTGTCTGGCATGCAAGAGGTGGTGAAGAGTAAGAAGTGATGAGGTGATGAAAAATACAACTTAGCCTTCTGCCAGTGAAGTAAAACAACTCAAAAAAGGCCATCAAATGCAGTCATTGACCTCTGCTTCTCTACTAAAAAGCCCAAGGTTAAAAATAAAAGCATTAAAATTAGGTTAGTTTAACTATTAGAGAAGAAAGCAACTTATGTTTTAATTGCTTTTTTTTTTTTTTTTTTTTTTTTGCAACATAATAAAAGTATCTATATGAAATCCTCAAGCATAGATGGCAGGAGCTGAAGGACAAACACTGTCATAGCTTGCAGTGCTCCCAAAGCCTCTTCTGGCTGGTCCTATGCATTTTATTTGATCAATTCATTTAACTTTGCTAGGGAACCATTCTTGGCTCCAGTTTTGTTAAGAGAAGAAAATGTGCTCATTTCTTTCCAAGGCTATCTGTATAGCACAGCAATGCACAGCTGCATTTTATATACCCTTCTGTAAGGTCAAATAGGAGTCATTTAAACCTTCTGAGGTTCAAAAGRTGCACGGAAGAACGGAATTTAAGCAGGTAAGGAATATATTTTCTGGCTTCAAATACCAATTCTATTTGTAAGACATCAATTAGCAGTTGTCTGCTTCCCCCTGCAGTTTTGTGAAGCTATTGCTGTATGAGGCATTCAGTGATTTGAACTTCAACTTAAGGTTGTAGACACTCAAACATCCTTGCAAAACTGGCTCGAGTTGTCACTTCAGAACTGCGCCAAATCCAGCCTCTCACTCAAGATGTTGAGCAATGAGCAGTGCGAGACTCTGGAGTCTTCTGGCTCCCAGTAAGGATGCATTAACCTACCCCTCGCCAAAGACTACATTTTCCTGAATTTTTAAGCAGTACTTTCAGATAATAGGTCATATGCACTCCAGAAAGTCAGTTTAAGTTAACATGCCAGACTGAAAACTTGACCTTTCCTGACTGACAATRTATGTCATTTGCCCACTCCTGCTGGAGATGCGATGGCCTCAGGCAGGGATGTGGGGCTGACCACTTAAATCTATCGCCACAGGAGTCAAAACCTCTCGTCAGAGATAAGCTCTGAGTTTTGTAAAACAAAGATATCAATTTGACAGCATCACTGTCTTCCAAGAAATACAAAAATGAATATATGACTAAAATCAGCAGCACTGAAAGAAAAAGGAATAGTTTATGACTTTCTGAAAAAGTGTCATCCAACAAAATAYGCACT